CTGTAATTTGGTATCACATAGGGGGGATTCTAAGTTAACTGTAAAAGAAAGACTAACACGCGCAAACATGCGTCGGGTGCGCCTCTGTGCAAAAACAACTATTGTGCTCATTGCGCCGTACATGTTACATATCATCACGAACGTCAGCATGTGAGCAATATTTTAGGGCCATCAATCACTGTTAACACTAAATTGATGAGCGGTAAAAGCTTTTCATGTGTCAATTTTGGGTGTGGATGTTTTTTGCGATTTTCGCGGGCGTGCACAATTTTAAGGTTTGACGTGTTTGGTGTCTTATTTAACTAACGTGACCCCGTCTTATATATATATATATTAGTAAAAAAATAAAACCCCCAGTGGTGAATAAATACCACCAAAAGAAAGCTCTATCTGTCCCCAAAAAAGGGTATAAAATTCATTTCAGTACAACGCTGCATGACGGAATAAACGTCAGCCAAAGTACCACAGCGCTGAATACTGAAAAATGGCCTGGATGGGAAGGGGGTTTAACAACCCGGTCTTCAAGTGGTTAAGCAACATTTTCCCAGATTTGCAAGGCTGCCATCTGGTCTTCTACCAGGTGGATATTTTGGCCTCATCTGATGCCAGGCATGGCCATAAAGTCCTTCAGGTGGCTCTTTGAGCTGAAAGCAGTTGCCAGTTCTCTGTCATTTTTGGGGGGCCTTTTAGTAGTTGTTTGCTGTGTTTTAATCTTTCTGTTGGACTGCTTTTGATCATCTTGAAAGTTAAAGACTTCCTGTGTCTTTTTTAATGGACGAGAAAAAATATAGACTTTTTGTATGCACTGTACAATCTTTTTCTTGAAGTTCATTGGGGGATACAGGTCCAACCCCACTGTGTTTGTGATCATGCTCTTGGTACTGCTTTCCTACAAAAATGAGGATTGTTGGTAGTAGAAGGGGCTGGCCTACAGTTTTTTTATTTGCCGGTGTCCAATTCTCCTGTAATCGGCAGTATAACCCTAAGGTTTAAGACCTGTTGTGTCCTTGTATGGGCTCCAAAGGATTTTACGGAGAATCCCATTTTGTCATACAGTGAATGGGACCATTGAAGGAAATGCCCTAAAAAGTTTTAGAAAATCATAGATGGCTGCAGATTGAAAAGGTAAGGTAATTTTGGCAAACTCCAAAATGCCTAATTATTGTATATCTTTGTGAAAGTGGAGTTTAATGTTCAATTAAAAAAATAAAGTAGATAGGATTCCCCCACCTCCTTTTTTTATTTGCATTTTTTTTTTACAATATTTGTGCATTTTTTTAACAATTTGTTTTTAGTAGTACAAACACATTTACAATTAAATGTGTGCTTTTCTCTCATGCACAACATTTACTATTAGTATATATTAATGGTGTTTTAGTATCTCTCTGCAAATGGGCCTTGTAATGGTCCTGCAGATAACATTGTATAGAAAATACACTTGGACCTTCACTTCTGCAGATGTGATAGAAGAGGGACATCTAGTGGTGACATTGCAAATAACACACATTTAGAATGACATGTTATTGCTACTGTTAAACGGTTATTGTCAACTCGTACAGATTATTACATAGGGGGATACCATCCCCCTATGTAATAGCACAGGTACACTGACAGGTCCTCTTTATGGAGACATTAGGGGTCTCCAGACCCCTAATGTCACCTGGAGACCCCAAAAGAAGCTGATGAAGCACAGATTTGCTTCATCAGCTTCTTCTCTCTGGCAGTAGGAGCCAGATGACTGACAGGTGAATGCGGAAGTGATGTAATACACATCACTTCTGCATTCACACTACAGAAGGAGATCAGCAAGGAGCTGACTCCCTCCATCCTCCTCTTGACGCCCTCCCGAGCCGGTCCCGGGCCGCAGATGGGCTAGCGGATCCCGGGATTAAAGGTGAGGGGTCAGGAGGGGGGGAGATGGCGGCACTCGAGATGCACGCCATACAACCGATCGGCGGCTATAGAGCCGCTGATCGGTTGTATGTGAAACAGCCGTTGACGGCTGTAGTAACGAGCGGGTCTTTCCTGCCCGCGCGCTAGAGGGCGCGCGCGAGCAGGAAAAAAATGCCGTCTGACGACGGCAACCCGCGGATGCGAGTCTGCCATCCGTCCGTTTTTTCTTAATGGGCGGACGGCAACAGGTTAAATGGGTTGATGGACTTGTTCACACGGGCTTTAGCTTGTATAAAAGCAGTGTGTACAGAAAAGCAAAGTTTTTGCGAAGAGTTTGTATAGCTATTGGCCAGCTTTAGGCAGCTTTGGTGAAGCCTTTATAGAGGAACTCCAGGATTTAAAACAAAATAACACTTGCAGTGGGGCTAGTCCTGCACTGTAAGGATTAACTGCTTGTTTTGGTCCTGAGAAGCAAATAAAGAAGATATACTCACCTGTCCTCGATCCCACTGCTAGAACCGTCCCTGGGCTCCGTCTGTCTAAGCCCCACTGTCCATTCTCCTGCATTAGATAAGGATGCCAAGCTTTATAACACAGCCGAAGGAGAGGGATAGAGAGAGGTGAACACTGACTTGACTGCTGCAGGATCGAGGATCAGGTGAGTATATTTTCTTTATTCTGGCTCCTAGACCAAAGCGAGCACTGCAGGGATTGGCTTTATAAAAACCTGGAGTTCTTCTTTAAAGAAAACTTCACTTGATATATGGGGATGTTAAAGGGTATGTCCGCTTTCCCATATTCCAATTTGAGAAAATGGAATTACCCCCACCAATCTGACCCCAAAACAATCCCCATCTATAATCTGGCTGATGTCAGACGGGCGACTCTTTTTTTATCAGTTATTTGTTAAAATCACCGGTGGCGGGCTCGCTAAGAGGCTGACTGTCTCTATTGAATCTCTCCCTCTGTAGCCAGATGCAGCCAGGTGGCACTCTGACGCTGGCCTGAATGCTGCTGAATCTCCATTGCTGGCTATGTAAATGACATCTTGCTGCGTCTGGCTATAGATGCAGTGATTCCAGAAGGACAGACAGGTAACCTCTTTAGATATCCCGCTGCTGGAAATGTGTCTCTAGCAGCAGAATCACCCGCCTGACATCATTCTAACATTTATTAGAAGAGAGGGATATAGTGCAAAAGAAATACTTTGTTTTATTAACTACATCATGAAAATGGATAAATTCCCCACATTGGGGAATGCCTTGATTGTTGTAAGAAATTTTGTTTACTGTGTATAGCGCCGTCTTGGGATTCTGCACAGGCATGAGACAAGCATTGGAAATTTGTATCGGCAGGCCCAATTGCAAGATCAGCCCTGGATTGTGGACCCCCGGTGTTCTATCGAAAGTTCCAACTTGTCGACTTCTCCAACTGGCGACGTCACATCCGGTGACTGCCAGTAGATCTACAGCAGATGGTGCCAGTGCGCATGCCCAGGAAATCCTTGTTGAACTGTCTAACTATTGCCATAGTGCCTGTGCGGCTATCCACTTCTATAACCTACTACAGTTATACTTGTCTTAGGTTATAGAAGCGAATGAGCCGATAGCCGTGCTGGCAACCACGTCAAAGGTTATATTATGTTACAGCGTCTGCGCGGCCACATGATTCTTTCTACATCCACAGTTGGCAATGCGCCTGTGCGGCTATCCACTTCTATAACCTACTACAGTTATACTTGTCCTAGGTTATGGAAGCCGATGAGCCGAAAGCCGTGCAGGCAACCACGTCAAAGGTTATATTATGTTACAGCGTCTGCGCGGCTATCGGCTTCTATAATCTAGGACAAATATAAGTTTGTCCTAGGTTATAAAATACGACGAGTCGCTAGCCGCGCAGTGGCAATAGACAGTTCGACACGGATTTTCTGCCCATGCGCTCCATGTGCTGTACATCTCCTACTGGCAGTCACCAGATGTGACGTGCCCAGTCGGAGAGCTTGACAAGTCGGAGCTTTCGATAGAACACCCCCCTTTGCCATTTTCTTGTCGGGCCTAGTTTTATCATGGAGACATTTGTCATTGGATGACTTGCAACTTTTTCATAGAACAGTTTAACTGGAAGACAGAGATACTGTAGTAGTTGGTTATGTGTCCAACCTTTCTTGTATCTCTATTCGATTAGCCGGGAGGGATGTTATAGGCCATTGTAATTGCTGCTTTTAATAAACATTTTAGCTACAATCTCAAGGTTTTGTGCTATACTTACGTGGGCACAGAAAAAAATTGTAGTTTCAAAGTGGAACAATAGTTGAAATGGAAAATGATGAACAAAATGTTCCTAGTTTACTTCTGTTACGTAGTGTCATGATATATTTGAAGCTGTCCTTTGACTACAGGCCTTGTTCAGCAGGCCAGAACTTGCCTGCCCTGCCTTCTTCTGTTTGGGAGAGTGTTCTGCTGATGTGAACTTGGTGTCTGATCAGTAAGGAATGCTGTCCTTCCCTCTTCACTTCCTTCGTTATTCTGTTATCAGTACAGTAAGGTTTCTATGATTCATTATTGCTAAGAGCTTAACCTGAACCTTTTAACATTTGCCGTGAAGGACAGGGCGGGACTGTGTACATTGATTCCAGTTATTTTTTATGAAGGGGAGGTGAGACACAGCAGGTTCTTGTATCGGTATAAAAATGTTTTAATATAATTTTGACCTTCTTCAGGGCTACGGAGAGTTCTGCTCCTGCATTAGGTAGCTTTGTCACTGTGGCTGTGGAAAGGAAGATGATGTGTAAAGATGATTCCATATAGATATTGGTGTTTTTTAGATTACTAGACCAAGGCCCCACCATTGATGGACAAATGGACTGATCTCGGAGCACCATCTCTTTGCATTGTTCAGCTTTTATTTTCAATCCCAATGGGGCAGTGCTGAAAGTTCAGTAATTCATGACAGCCTATCAAAAGTCATCTTTACACTTGAGTCTGGTTTGTTTCTAAGTTTTTTTTTTTTTTTTAATTGTCTACGTTTTCACTGCTTTTGTGTTAATGTTGCCAGTAGTGAAGTCAGTATAGCACAATTGGTATAATCTTCCTTTTCTCTGTGTGCAGGTGTTTATTGGTGAACTTCCACAGGACTTCCTGCGCATCGCACCCACCCAACAGCAACAGCAGATCCAGCTGGATGCCCAGGCTGCACAGCAGCTACAGTACTCAGGAGCAATGGGGACTATGGGCCGTGTCAGCATCACTGTGGTTCAGGTAAGTAACCATATGATCAATGGGTATTTGACATTCATTTGCAGGATTTATATGACCGTATGTGAAAGGTTAACTTTGGCTTTTAAAAAATCTAATGCAAGTTCAAGCAGCCATGAAATATGATTAGGATGTCTCATTAGGAGTGCCTTTTCTGCTGCACAGCCATAACACTTTGTTGTGAACTACGCCACACTGCTGATGCCAGAACCAGCACTTACAGCACTTCCTGGGACCTCTTGATGCGCTCAGTTTGGTGTGCTGGCTTAATTCTCGTTCTTTCTAGTCCACATGGCAAAGATACTGGCAGTGCCAGGAGTAGCTGTAGCAATACGAGGAGGCTCACAACAATACACAGGAAGAAGTACTTTTCTTGCATTCATATATCTCATTCACCTTAACCAAGATAAACCAAGTAAAGGAAACCTTTTTAAGTTTTTGTATTTTACTTTTTAGCTGACTAGAGCAATTAACGCGAGCTGAAAAAGTCCACTCTGGAATAGACATTCTGTTTGTGGAGAAGGACTTCCCACACCTGTATCTACAGGATTAACTATGGTTTTGGATTTATTGCCCAATACATTATTCTTTTCTTTGCAGAGAGATGCAAAATATAATGGGCCTCATATTTGAATGGGCTGGGTATGGCAACCCAGATTTTTAGCACAGCAAAAGGATATAAAATCACTGTGCCAAAATGCTGGTTCTGTGATGTCCTATCCCTTTTCCTGTTAAGCTCCGTCCCTTTTCATTGGTTCATTGGCATTTGTTGTAACTCTTGTTCTTCTCTGTTGTAGGGGCTCTGGTACAGGTTGAGATCTGGTCTCCAATAGCTTGACAGCCAAGACATTAAGCTGCTCACGCACTCTGCCTTCAGCAAATCAACTTGTTCGCCTAAACATGGGTACCACTGACTAGTGATGGGCTCAGGCGTGTTCGCAGCTCCACGTGCCAAAGCTGACAGCGCGCAGCTCCAATCACAGGCACTGAGACATTTCCCGATCTCTGCAGCTGCAGACCGGGAACATGTCTCAGTACCTGGGCTTGGCGCTGTCAGCTTTCTGGTGGGCTTGGCACGTGGAGCTGCCAACACGCCAGAGCCCATCACTACCACTGACGTGCAGCAATTGGTTCTAAAATAAGTGCTACCAATTGGTGGCTCTTTAACCACCTTCCGTCCATGGCTGTTTGTGAACGGCCGGACGGACGTCTGCTAGAAGCGGGAGGACGTCTTAAGACGTCCTGCCCCTCCCCTTCTCGTGTGCGGCACTCAGCGCGCACACGAGAGGGGAAACTGTGAGCATGTAAACAGCCAGCGATGGCTGTTTACATACAAGCGATCAGGCGTCTCTAGAGACGCCCGATTCGCTTCCAGGAGCTGCGGGTGTGCGGCCTCCCCACCCCCACCCCCCGTACCTCTGTCCCGCCGTCTACTCGTCGCCGCTGCCGGTCCGTGATCCGATCTGGCCGGTGCTGCTGGGACCGGCACGGCGACGCTCTAACAGCAGATCAAAGGGAGATCATTACTCGATTTCCCTTTGATCTCTCTTCCTGTCCCCGAATGCAGGAAGTGATGTATATTACATCACTTCCTGCATTCAGTGTCACTCTCCGGTGCAGAACACCGGAGAGAAGCTGATGAAGCAGATCTCTGCTTCATCAGCTTCTGTGGGGGTCCCTAGGTGACATCAGAGGTCTTGGAGACCCCTGATGTCTCCATAAAGAGGACCTGTTTGGTGAACTGGCTATTACATAGGGGATTTCTTAATCCCCTATGTTATAGCAATAAAGTTGTCTAAAAAAAGTTAAAAAAAAAAAAATTTACAGCATTAAAAAAAATAAAGAAGCTAAAAAAAATATTCACAAATAATAATTTAAAAAAATTACATAAAAAATGTTTTAAAGTCCCCCGCCCCCCCACATACACATGCAAACATGCGTCGGGTGCGCCTATGTACGAAAACGACGATTGCGCCTATTATGCAGCACATGTTACATATCGCCGCGAACGTCGCAGTGAGAGCAATAATTTTAGGGCCATCAATCACTGATAACACTAAACTGATGAGCGGTAAAAGCTTTTAAAGCGTCGCCTATGGCCAATTTTGGGTATTATCGTTTTTTGAGGTTTCGCGCGCGCACGCAATTTTAAGGCTTGACATGTTTAGTGTCTTTTTACCCGACGTGACCCCATCTTTTATATTTTACCAAAAAATTGGGTAATAATAAATGTTTTATCATTTAATATAGGGGAAACTGTTTTTTTTTTTAAATTTCGGTAATTTTTCCTTAATATAGTAAAAAAATAAAACCCCCAGTGGTGAATAAATACCACCAAAAGAAAGCTCTATCTGTCCCCAAAAAATGGTATAAAATTCATTTCAGTACAGCGTTGCATGACGGAATAAACGTCAGCCAAAGTACCGCAGCGCTGAACACTGAAAAATGGCCTTGCCAGGAAGGGGGGTGAAACACCGCGGTCTTCAAGTGGTTAAAGGACAACATTAGGATAACCTGGAGCAGGCTTAAGAGTCACCAAGAGGGGCTGCTAACATAAATACATAACATAAAAAAGTTTAGAATCTTGCTGCATGTTTTTGTAAATGTAGTTATGCCCTTTTAATGCATCTCATCAATAAATCTTATACAGATTTCTATACACACAAATGTTTGCCTAACAATTCCATGTAGGATATGCTGGGCAACCAAACCAAGCACAAACCCACAGCAGAACAGAGCCCATGATCAGGAAGGGATCCTTTTAGATTTCTGTTGGCTCAACATGTAATGGAATGTACCTGATGAACAATCCTGTATCTGAATCTCATTTAATACATCCTGTCTTCATGTAGGCCAAGCTTGCAAAGAACTATGGTATGACACGAATGGATCCCTACTGCAGGATACGTTTGGGGTATGCGGTGTATGAGACTCCGACAGCACATAATGGCGCTAAAAATCCCAGATGGAACAAGGTGATCCAGTGTACTGTTCCACCCGGAGTGGATTCCTTCTACCTGGAAATCTTCGATGAGGTTAGTGTTGCATATTAAATATATCTGTTCCTACACCTGCAGCCTTGTGTTATGCAATCTTTGTATAAATACATGGAAACGTTTGTATTTCCTTTCTTAAAGGAAATCCATACCTGTAATCAAATGCCGCATAGAGGTTTTTTTACATTTTTTTTTTTTAAGAGGAACAATAAATGCTTAAATACATATTTTTATGGATTTAACTTCCAAAGGCTTTGTAATTCAGTTCGGCTAGTCTTGTAATTCAGACAAATCTGCCGTACTGCGTAGTCTGGTAGGTGACGCACTCAATTCCTGTTAGAGCATATGATTGTCCTAGTTCCCCTCCAGGCTGCTGACTAGAAAATAACTTGGCATGGACACCTCTGGCCAATTCTGGGGATGTGGTCCAGGAAGCAGAAAAACTGAACCGGGAAGTAGTAGAATGATCATCCTGGCTATGTAGTGTGACAAACATGTTATTCAGAAGTTTGGTTGTACATAAATATAAATCATTTGCCAGGTGAAAAACCTTAAAGGAGAACTATGGGGTTCTATCTTTTTTTTTTATTAATGCATTCCTTAGGCTAAATAAGTAAATAATGTAATTTACTCTAATTAGTCAAAATGCACAGTAAGGCTGTAAACCCTTATTGAAGGTGGTGGGCGGGGCTAAGCGCCGCAATGAGAAGACATCCCGACGTATCTGACGGGATCCTCCCCACTGATGACTGACAGTGATTCTTGAGAGCTGCTGCGCGTCCACGAATATATGGACATGCGCAGCAGCTCTCTCCTTACCTGCACGTCCCCGTGTGCCAGCTCCTTCCCCCCTCTCTCTCTCTCTCCCTGCTGACACTGACATACTAAAATGATCGTGGATCGCTGATGACAGAGGGGAAGGAGCCCTCTCTCTCTCTTCAGCATTTACTACAAATGGGAAAGTCCATATATGGTAAATGATGTCACTGGAGATCCCTGCCGATCGGATCCGATCAGCAGGGATCTCCAGTGACATAATTTACCATATATGGACTTTCCCATTTGTAGTAAATGCTGAAGAGAGAGAGAGGGCTCCTTCCCCCTCTCTCTCTTTCTCTCTCTCCCTGCTGACACTGACATACTAAAATGGTCGTGGATCGCTGATGACAGAGGGGAAGGAGCCCTCTCTCTCTCTTCAGCATTTACTACAAATGGGAAAGTCCATATATGGTAAATGATGTCACTGGAGATCCCTGCTGATCGGATGCTTGCCAGTCTGCAGAGATCCCCAGTGACACTATTTACCATATATGGACTTTCCCATTTGTAGTAAATGCTGAAGAGCGAGAGGGCTCCTTCCCCTCTATCATCAGCGATCCCCAGTGAATTGAGGATGTCAGCGTCACACAGGGCAGGCAGAGAGAGAGAGGGGAAGGAGCCTGCGTGCACAAGCTGACAAAACACAGCTGTGCACGATGAGAGGAAGCGCGGCCACAGCATTGAGATCATTTGAAAAAAAAGCCGTGGGCGGGCTGGATCAAATGTTAACGCCCCCTAAGAGGAAAGGAGCTTGGAGCATGGGTGAAGACGGCCATTTACTACAGTTTTGAGGGTTTTATCTGTCATGTGCTGCGAATTTAGAAAAAAAGAACGATGCTACTACAATCAAGGCAAGGGGTATTTTTATTTGCCCTTAAGTCATAGTTCTCCTTTTAATGTATGTATTTCAAATGTGCACTTAGCTGTTTGCCTGGAGTTCCACTTAATTCTGCTGCCCATTCATCTGACAGAATGGTGGCAGAACTGCTACACTCTCTATACTGCATGTAAAATGAAGTTTGAGCCAATGAAAAAAGCACCTTGTATAAGGCTCAAACTTCACCTTGTTTATATTTTTTTTTTTTTTTTTTTTTAATGTGCTAAGCAATTAAAATTGCCCACCTAGCATCCTTAACTGATTTTCCATTTTTTTGTACAAAATTGGCACTGCTGATTTTAATACTGTTTTTTTTTTTTTATAAATGACTAACATTGTCCATTTCTAACCATGCAGAGAGCATTCTCCATGGATGATCGCATTGCATGGACGCACATCACTATTCCAGAATCGCTCAAGGATGGGAAGGTGGTGGATGAATGGTTCAGCTTGAGTGGCAGGCAAGGAGATGACAAGGAAGGCATGATCAACCTGGTTATGTCTTACACGGTGAGAGCTTATTTCCAACTGTTACATCAGTTCTAGGATCTCCAGGATGTAAGCTTTGGGTTATGTATTTGTGTGATACGATATGGGGCTTTTATACCACACTGTTCTATAAAATAACCACAATGTTTAATACTTCCAGCAAAATTAGTGAAGTTTGTAAATGTAACCTATAACACAAAATCACCTGCAACTCCATACGTCGTACAGACCTTGACGAAGGGTCGGTGCTTAAAGTGACAACACAGATGGCGCCGGGTCAGATACAGTCCATAATGAAAGTCACCACCACTCGATGATATGTGCAAGAAGTAAAGCACTTTTTATTAAATTGTCACATGCGTCAAACAGCCAACGCTTCGGGGCCACGAAGGGTCCCTTCTTCTGGGCGACATGACGCATGTGACAATTTATTAAAAAGTGCTTTACGTTTTGCACATATCATTGAGTGCTGGTGACTTCTATTATGGACTGTAAATGTAACCTTTCACCTTTTGTCTTTTCTCCTGCTATTTTCTGAGAGTTATATTGCGATAGTCTTTCCAGTATGGTTTTCCATCTATTTCCGGATAAAGCGATCTACAAACTCAGAGCTCTTTGCATTTTATCATAGGAGTTGTATCTTAGGAAGCTATTCCAGCATCCCTTTTAATTTGCATGTTCCTTATGTTGGTCACTATTGGCCATTTGGTTATAAGCAAGGACAGTACTCTAGGAATAATGAATTACGTTGTTTCATATAAAAGGAGTGTGGTGTTATCATGATTTGTTATAATAGGGCAACCATATACCTTAGGATTAGCTTTGTCTGCAGGTATGTAGTTGTATACTCTCCCCCTTGACAAGCAGAAATGTTAGCTTACTGCTGGGATGTAAGGTCCTCGTGTATGCTGACCCTATGTGCTGTCTGAGTTCAGTGCTGACAACAAACACTCTCCAGCTAGAGGAGGGTAAATGTTTTACCTAAAGCTTTTTTTAATTTCCGGTTATCGTACAAGCATCTTTGTTACAGTTTTTGATTGTCTTCTATCAACACTGAGCTCGGACTGGTAAAAAAAAAAAAATTATTGTTGATTGCCTTTTTATTTGCTGAAAAATCCTCTGAAAACCTTACTTTGCTCTCCACTTTTATGTAACATTAAGGAGGGGCTGGAGAGCTATGTTTACCGTAATGTCTGTAGCGTGCGGGCAGATATCGTTATCAGTTGTAAACTAGATTTGATCACTGTCTTAACAAAGGGTTAAATATCTCAAGGCTTGGGTGGTATATTGCATGTTAATGCACTTTTAAAAGAAGTTGTCCCTACAGTGTATTGTTCATTATGGTATTCTGGCTATTTCATCTGCCTATATCCTATGTATAAACCTGCTCTAAAGAAACAACTAACTAGAACAAAAATATATTTTTAGGTATGCCCTGTGAATGGGAACACATAACAAACATAAAGTAGATGTTTCTCAAATTTGCTTGCAAAAATAGAAACACACACTGAAGTGTAGGCCATGTCTTAAGTGTATGTCATGCCCAAACTTTTTATTTTTGTGTATAGATTGTGGAAGGGTTGGTTCCTTTGTCAGGTTTTTATTACTGTGTCCCCACTAAATCCTTCTCAGTATCTGTCTCATTGTCACTGTTACAGAAAGCAATGGGCAATCCACCATCATTGAAACAGGAGCTGAGGAAATATTCTTGTGAGGACAACTTTTCCAGTCAGTAACAACTATAAGGGCATAAGCCTTGCTTTAAAGAGATTGACTCTTCTGCATCCCTAGGACCGGAATAAACCAAAAAAGCCATACGGGGTGCTTAACTATTCCTTACTGTATCCAAAACATAAAACATTGTTTTAACTTTACATATACTTTAAAGCAAACACAACTGCAGTACAGGCAGAAAAATTAACCTCTGCTAGACAGCATTTCTAAATCAAACTTCCTTTCATTTCCATTTATGTATCTTATAATGTTGACTTTTTTCTTTTCCAGTCTGTGCCGGCAGCAGTGATGATGCAGTCTCAACCTGTGGTGTTAATGCCTACGGTCTACCAGCAAGGTGTCGGCTATGTGCCCATAGCAGGTGAATATCGAGGAGAACCGCAGTGTACAGTTAACAATGCCTGAAAGTTTGAGTCTGGAATGCCGGGGAGTGTGTGTGCTTTAAGTTACCAAGTTCCTGGCTGTCCAAGCATTTCTAAATAGATTTACTTGTATATTAAATTCTGTGGGCTTGAAAAATGTGCAGTGAGAATTAATATCTCCTGTAATGTCTCAAAACAAATGGAGGTCAGTAGTGGAGTCGCGCTTAGCACAAAGTGCACTTTACATCTGTCCCCTGTCTTTGCTTTGATATCTACCAAATTTAAAGTACCAAGCTGATCACTTTTTGTCCAGTGGATCTTTAGATCCCTCTGTCTGCATGAAGTGTCATATCCATAAAAGCGCATGGAAAGTCTGTGTTCAGAGGTAGCTGCAGGACAAAGGAGCCTGGAGGTGTTCGCTGCAGGACTTCATACCAGCAGACTGCGGGCATCTAAAAGCATATTATTTGCACATTAAGTGCACAAAGCAAGCACATTACCCTGTGTTCAGTTTTATCATTCAGAGAACCTAAAGACAACTTGTCACTCTGGCCATGTACCAACTCGCTAATTGGATAAAATAACGTTTTTTTACCAGCTCTGTCAGTGTCAGGATTAATATTGCAGTGTAGTAATAAATTGACTGTAGTCACTGCCATGTTGAGTAATTCTCTGCAGCATAAAAAGTGCCAAAACTGCAGATTTTCCACCGGGGCAGCATGAAATTAAAAGCAGTTTCTGCATTTTCTTGTAGTTTTGGCTGCTTACATCTGTAAATATACGTGGAAGCCTATGATTAATATAGAAGCACTGACAATAGTGTGTGTATAGATAGATAGAGAGATAGATAGATGATAGATAGATAGCTAGATATAGATAGAGGGAGACATACATACATACATACATACATACATACATACACACATACATACATACATACACACACACACACACACATACACACACATACACACACATACACACACATACACACACATACACACACATACACACACATACACACACATACACACACATACACACACATACACACACATACACACACATACACACACATACACACACATACACACACACACACACACACACACATATATTTTTTTTAAATGACTACATTTTGTATTTGTGGCCTACTATAAGTTGGCAGATCTGAGCTGTCCTATGGAATCTGCTTTTGTGCACTGTAGCGTGTAGCACTCCCACCAGTACCTGCTGATTGATGGTTATAAATTGCTGAGCTGCTTGTCACACTTTTTGTATTGACACACTACACATCTGGCACCACCAATGGGAACAGTTTAAGGTTACCCAAATTAACCAAACTAGGCTGGGCTGCAGCTGCGGGTGAAGGAACTCGGGCTGTGAGATGGACGTGTCTGGGCCAGTGTCCGTGCCGTGGTGATGATGCAGAAGTGATTATTTCTGAAGATATGGGAAAACAACGCGATTTAACAGCCTTTGAACGTGGGATGATTGTTGGCGCTCGGAGCCATGGAGCGAGTATCAGCAAAACAGCAGAATTAGTTAAATGTTCAAGAGCAGCTGTTGTTAAAGTGTTTAAAGACTGGACTGTCAGACGAAAATCTGGGTCTGAACGTGCGAATTGTGTCCGTCAGCGACTAGTCAATGTTAGGGCAGAACGGAGAGCGGAAAGACTGGTACAAGACAACAGAAGGGCAACAGTGCCGTGTCAGATTCCTCGCATCACCTTTCAACATCTCGTGGAGTCACGAGGCGGCCCAACGAAGTACTGATGGGGTGGTCATAATAATCTGGCCACTCGGTGTATATATTATTGGTCTTAAAAAGTTACTTTGACAGTCTCATGGCAAAAATAACAGAATACCTTCTCCAGCAGAAAAGTGATTTAGTAACAGCTGGCCTGTGGTGTCTGTGAGATTTGCACAGAAGCTCCATTCTTCTCCCCTTTCTTGCTCCTAGTGTGAAGTTGGGGTATAGGGAGATGGAATCCTTCAGGCTGGATACTTTTCACTGTGAACCAGCATGTCAGACCCTGCCTCCCCTTATCCAATACTACACACTAGGATCCATGTCAGAAGAGAGATTCTATCACTGGTGGCAACTGCCTAACAGGTTCGGTAAAGAGCGCTCTCACCTGCTCCTCCAGCATCACTCCCTTGCTGCAGTGACAGGCCAATGCTTCTCTGTTTTGGCCAGCAAGGAAGCTATACTGTTGGAGCAGATGAGTGCTATTAGCATTCCTGTTGCTGTCGATTTGACATCAACAAGCGGGTTTTTTTAGGGTTGATCAACATTAAAGTGCATGGAGCTCCTGTGTGTTATCCATTATTCCACAGGCTGGCCACTTGTAACTGGCTTTTCTGCTGCAGGAGATATTTTCTGTAGTGTAATGATGGACTGTAAATGTGTTCCTCATTTCCCAGAAACCAGTTTATAAGTGCACTCTTACTTTAAAGTGTGTCTATGGCCATTTTATAATAATAATAGATTGTTAAAGTGCTCTCTGTTCCCCTGCTGGGGGCGGGGGTTTACCCTCTATGTTATATTTCCAGTCACTTTGTGTCGGTCATCAGGACACAAAGTGACCAGAAATATATTTTTCTTAGTCTTCATCAGAGCAGGAGGCGAGGAGGGATCTTCTTTTGCGGAAACCTAAAGCTGCCTATACACTACTAAAAAAACAAATCTCAGAACAGTTGATTATGAGACTTGACGAATCAGAGACTTGACGAATGCTGCTCGAAAATTTCATTTGATTTTCGCATTCCACTCGAGTGAATGTTGTTTCCCGACTAAAAGCCACATTTACTGTTAGAAAGTTTTTCTTGAATGAATGAAATTCTATCCTGCTCCTCTGATTTTGAGGTAAGATAAAAGTGGCCAGTTTTCAACGCAATTTGCAATAAGCTAAACTGGCCACTTTTATCCCGCCATTGATGTCAATTCACTCATCATGGATCCAGGAGGATGTATTTGAAAGCCTGATGCAGTAAACTCCCCGCTCCAGCATCCACGGGGATTGGTAGTTTCCTGATAAATGTAGTTTCTGGTTGTTTGAGAGTTACTATTAAAAATAGGTCTAATTAATGCCATACCCCATACTATAGCACACCATAACATAAACTCTGTATTGACTTCATATTAATATTGAAATGCAGTAATCAAAAGCAAATTAAGACAAATAGACACATGATCATTTCCAGGATAATACATGGCGCAGATCAGCAAAATAGAGAGTACACAGGATTTTTTTTCTGGTTAGATGAGAGTTCTGGTTAGTTGAATACCAGATAACTAAGTTTACTGTATCATGTACTTGTAAAGTAATATGTTCTCTATGGCCAATAGGGGCACTTATGTGAAAATGTATTTACTGTATATAAAATGATGATGGCGCTATACCCATAATACTTTTATACAATGATTTTATGACTTCTGTTTTGATACCACAATAAAATAAAGTAGGAATTTTTAGACATAAGCATTATTAGACGGTTGGCCCCTTAAAAATCCAGGTCTTTTTAATACCTTTTGAAATCATTTCTGTCCTTGGGGGAATGTGGTGCCCTAATCACCTATCAATGCACAAATTTATAGAAAGCAAAAATGAATGTAAAAGGGAGAAGGACATGTGTGGATTGTCTGTCCCGAGTTTCCTTCCAACCATTGTCATTTGCATAGATCCGGCTGATGACAACCAAGAATTACTCTACAAATTCACCAAAGGAGTGCTTCACTTAAAGGCCACAGATACATAAGAAGCTACAGCTTTGCTCTTCCATAACCAAATTTTTTACTTAAAGGAGTACTATGGGGTTAAGGCTTTTCCCCATAGTTCTCCTTAGGGTAACGGGAGGACACAAAGTAGCGTCCTCCCGTCACCCTATGCTCAGTATACCGCGAGTTGTAGCTCGCTGTTTACTGAGACGCCGCTGTATACCGCGAGCTGCTTCTCACGGTATACTGAGATGCCGCAGCTGAAGCGGATCCCGACAATTATGTCTGGATCCGCCCAGCTGCGTGATTGACAGCTGGCTCTGCCTATCTAGAGGCAGAGCCAGCTGTACCCTCCCCAGTCCGTTCCGCCAGTCATCGCTGGCGGAGCGGGGAGGGGGGAATCCAGCCTCTCCCCTGTCACGGCAGAGAGCCGTGACAGGATTGAGAGGTGAGCGAACGCCGGTATGTGTTCGCTCACCTCCCGATCTACTAAGCTGACCTGTGACAGTCTCATTGTCACAGGTCGGCTAGAACTACAAGGTGAGTGAAAAGCACTCACCTCATAGTTCTGCTTTAAGCGGTTACTTTTTCTTTTGTACATCTGATTTCACTTTAAATTTAGGGTATGGTTCATCTGCTGTATGTGTACCTAGATCATTAACATTGTGTTCTGCTCATATTCTCTTCTGTATACACACTCCACCCAGGACTTGATTACTGGTCACTGGGTAAGTTTCTGTACCTCGCTGCATGATCTTTGGTATATGTTTGTCTTCACTTGTTAAACACCAGCACATCCCCAGCTTATGTCCATTGTAAAGTACGAGAGTAATGTGTATATGTAATATTGGATGTTTTTAATATGATAATGTTTTTAATATGAGATGAAGTCTCATTGCTGTCATTAAATTAGTTCTCAGCCTGAATGGGAGATTTAAGGATTTACTATAAGTGCTAATTGCAGAGTTAAAAAGGATCTGTTGCTTTAGAGCTCTTTTGATAAAAGGCTCATGCTGCAGTGATCCAAATTAAGTAAATTAACACGGCCCTCAGCCTGAGAATTGGGCATGCAGTACACTTCTGCAATACATGCACACTTCCCTATGTTTCATATTTTTAAAATGCTCCAAGTACAGAACATTACCTGGTGATCTTGCCAGAAATCTTGTGAGCTGTTAACCTCCTGCTGTTGGCTGACAACACTGCCTCTGCTGCACTGAAATTTTAAAACATGTTTTCAGTCCTGCCTATATTCTCTGCTGAATGTCAGGACTCCACT